GATGGTGGTTGGGGCTGGGTAAGTGAGAGGAAATGTTTAAATTCATAAGAATGCTGAAATTCATAAGAATGCTGAAATTAATAAGAATGCTTAAATTCATAAGAATGCTTAAATTCATAAGAATGCTTAAGTCCATAAGAACGCTTAAGTCCATAAGGATGCTTAAGTCCATAAGAACGCTTAAGTCCATAAGGATGCTTAAGTCCATAAGAACGCTTAAGTCCATAAGGATGCTTAAGTCCATAAGAACGCTTAAGTCCATAAGGATGCTTAAGTCCATAAGAACGCTTAAGTCCATAAGGATGGTGAAATTAATAAGAGTTTATATAAATTTCTAGAAATTTATATAAAATCATAGATAAATTAGTCAATTTTATTAGGTCATCGTTTTCGGTTCATTTCTTTTGCATGTCGCAATGGATGGTTTTGTCTATCCACTTGGCGTCGTTTCCGAGGCACTCGTTACGGTAAAAAAATCTTTCAATCTATATCATAAACACCTTGAAAAGTGAAAAGAAAATGTGATTTAGATTTTTGATTATATAGATACCTTTAAAAACTTACCCACAGGAATTCGCCTCAACAACAACGATTTCTGCGTTGATGTTGGCTCTTTTAACGGGGATTACGTTGGGAGTCGGTGAGTTTAAAACTGAAAATGTACGAGATATTGTCTAAAAGCTTTGCTAAAAGTTTAAAATGTAGTAGAAATTGACTAAAACCTTTCTAAAAGCTTAAAATATACTAGAAATTGACTAGAAACTTTGTTGAAAGCTTAAAATGTCTAGAAACTGACTAAAATCTTTGTTGAAAGCTTAAAATGTCTAGAAACTGATTAAAATCTTTGCTAAAAGTTTAAAATGTAGTAGAAATTGACTAAAGCCTTTCTAAAAGCTTAAAATATACTAGAAACTGATTTAAATCTTTGCTGAAAGCTTAAAATGTAGTAGAAACTGTCTAAAAACTTTGCTAATAGCTTAAAATAAACTAGATATTGTTTAAAAACTTCACTAATAGCTTAAAATGACTACAAACTGATAAAAAACTTTGCTAAACATTACGAATTTATAGCTATTTGACTAAAAGCTTGCAAAAAAAAAGCTTAAAATGTCTAGGAACTGATTAAAATCTTTGCCTTTAAGCTTAAAATGTAGTAGAAACTGTCTAAAAACTTTGCTATATGTTTAAAATATCAAAAGATATATTATTTTAAAATATTAACCTACAAAAAGTCCGATATTTTTACTTAAAATCCTTTATTTTCAGGTCCCCTGGCCTCAGCTTTAACCACTCGATTTGGATGTCGACTCACCGTAATCTCTGGCGCTTTTTTAGCAGCTTTAGGGTAAATTGATCGTAAACTTTAATAAAAACTGTATATAAATAGCTATATTTTGCACAAAAACCGTTCCCTTTTCAATTTTGGCTTCAGAAGTTTCCTCTCAGCATTCGCTTCTTCAATGTGGATGATCACATTTTTCGTCGGTGTGCTTATTGGGGTCGGCTGTGGTTTAATCTATTGCCCAGCTGTGCTCATCGTGACGATTTACTTTGAGAAGTTGGCAAAATCTTTAAAAGAATCTACTTTAGTTGAAAATGGTTGACAGATTAGAAGATGGAAAGCTGGATTTAAGCTATAGGAATCTAGAATAACAACGACGATACATTCTAGAATCTAGAATCTAGAATATACATTCTAGAATCTAGAATACTAGAATCTAGAATATACAATCTAGAATCTAGAATATACAATCTAGAATCTAGAATCTAGAATATACAATCTAGAATCTAGAATCTAGAATGTATCGTCGAGCTCATCCTGCTGACTATCTTTTCCAAAACCTTTTGAAAGAAGAAGAAAAGAAGGCCGAAGAAGATAGAGAATCTAGAGAGACAATCTGGACTTTATTTTAAACTTAAGTAATCTAATAAACTGATGAAAAAAGTGTTTTTAGAAAGCGTTCATTAGCCACAGGGATGATGGCTTGTGGAGCTGGGGTGGGAACGATTCTTTTTGGTCCAATTGACGATTTCGTCGTTCGAACCTACGGATGGAGATGCTTTTTCTTTATGTTTTCAAGTAAATTTATGATAAATATGACAAAAATAAATGTAAAGATAAAGAAAAAGATAAAAAAAAAGATCGCTTTTCTAATGTTTTTTGATCAAAAAATCAATCTAAATAGCTTTATTTTCAGTTCTTTTCATCGCTTGCTCACTCGTCGGCGTCACTTTTCGTTCGTTTGAGAAAAAGCAATTAAAAGATGTTTATTTTAAAAGATTTAAACGGAAATCTATTCAAATTACAGGTCGAAAGCGATGAATTTTTACGAGAATCTCCAGAAGTTAAATCTATTGAAGAGTTGGTTAAAGGAATTTCATCTAAAACGAGAAACTTTCAGAAGCCAACAAAACAACAAAGATTTACTGAAATCTTCAACATTTTTACTTTACTTGATCTCTTTTCTAATGACATGCATTGGATATAATTCACCGATATATTTCTTGCCGAAGAGAGCACAAGAGGCTTTGGGACTCACGTCAAGTGATGCGGCGTGGATAGTCTCCATATATGGTAACCATGCAAATTGAAACCATGAAAAGACGCAAGGACAGGGCTACTAGTTTACAACCTGTGAGTCTGTAAGCCTGAAAGCTTGTCTAGAGCCTGTAAGCCTGTCTAGAGTCTGGCAGCCTGTCTAAAGTCTGTAAGCCAAGTCCGGCTCCTCTAAATTACACTCAAAATTTGAATGGCACTTATTTCTGCAATCTAAATGCTGAAACACTAGGACCAGGCCCAGGCTGGGAATAAGAGCTTTTTCTGAGCTAGGCCTTCAGTAAAACCAATTCGGACCAAGATCTGGCTTCTGGCTGGCCCAAAATATTGGTTTAAACAACCCTGGACCAGGATCAGACTAAGCCTTCTAATTTAGGATCAGAAACTTTCGGAAATTACTTTATTTACTTTAAGATACTTTAGAAACTTAAAAAAACTGAAACCCAATTGTTCTTAAAGTTTTGTGAGAAAAACACTAGAACTTGTTGACCTTTTGCAGAGTGGGCCACAATTATAGCGTCACTTCAGAGCCTAGATTGCTCAAAATTGAGTCAATTGTTGTGATTTTTCTGGAGTTAAATCTGGAGTAGCGTGCCGATCGACACTTGACTATCAACTTTGGAAAGTTATATGAAAAAGTTAAAAGCTTGAATCGTTTAGATAATTGGCACCGTTCTAGGAGGTATACTTAAGATTTATTTTTAGGAAAATCACAAAAATTGGTTCAATTTTAGGCAAAGAAAGCCTAAGGCTAAGATTTCAACTCAATTTTGGGAAATCTAAGTACTGAAGGGTTGCAATAATTGTGGGTGATTGTGTGCTTTTACGTTAAACTGTTTAACAGTCTAACGTTAAGCTGTCTGACGTTAAACTCTTGACTGTTGTTGTTGTTGCTAAACTGTTGTTAGACGGTCGTTAAACTGTCCAACGTTAAGCTGTCAAACGTTAAGCTGTCAAACGTTAAGCTGTCAAACGTTAAGCTGTCAAACGTTAAGCTGTCAAACGTTAAGCTGTCAAACGTTAAGCTGTCTAACGTTAAGCTGTCTAACGTTAAGCTGTCTAACGTTAAGCTGTCTAACGTAAAAGTCTAACGTAAAAGCCTCGTTAAACCGTCTAACGTTAAACAGTTAATGAGTGATTCCTTTAGGTATGAGCAATACAATCGGCCGTTTCGTTCTCGGTTGGATCGGTGATAAAGAGTTCACCTTTCTACCGTCAGATATTGGAAAGGATAAGCCGAGAAATCGTCTTTTCCTTTACATTTCCTGTCTTACGGTAATCTAGATGGATTTTCTGATAAAAGAAATTTCAGTTATGCGGTTTTCTTTGCATTGGAGTTGGGTTTTTTCAAAGTTTTTTTACTTTGTGCATTTTTGCTGGGATTTTCGGATTTTTGTAAGTTTTTGACAAGTTTTTGACAAAGATCAAATTCATTTTGTTGTACTTTTTGCTTAAATTTGTAAATCCGAATGTAAACGTTTCCTTCTAGCACACTGAATCCTTCATTTTTCTTACTTTCTTACTTTATTTCTTTAGAAAAAAAAAGTTTTAAGTGCACTAGAGATCTTTTGTTTGCAAGTTTTGATCACAAAATACTCTGCTTTTCAGGCTCGCAGCCGCTGTCTCATTAGTATCAGTGATTCTCGTTGATTTGGTGGGAATTGAGAAAATCGGAAGTGCTTTCGGAATCGTTCTCGTTGCACAGGCAAGACCAAACAATTTTAGTAATCAATTTCTCATATCTGCAACGCACAAAAGGTTTTGGTCACAAATTTGGGTTTACTGGATACGATTTTGATTATAAAGCTAGGTTATTCTGAAGACTTTGATTAGAAATATCGGTTATTCTGGAGTTCACAGAATGTTTTGGTAAAAAAATTAGAGCTATCTAGAGTTCACAGTATATTTTGATAACAAATTAGAGCTATCTGGAGTTCACAGAATGTTTTGGTAACAAGTTAGAGCTATCTGGAGTTCACAGATTATTTTGGTAACAAACTAGAGCTATCTGGAGTTCACAGAATGTTTTGGTAACAAATTACAGCTATCTAGAAGGCACAATAGTTTTCTGAGCACTTTTCAAAGCTCTGGCGTCAGTTGAGTCATTCCATTTATTAGAAAAAACGATTGAGAAATCGAAACCAATAACCAATCAGTCTAAAGACCAAGTTTACTAACAAAGCTTTTACAGAAAAAAGAAAATTTCAGGCAATCGGCACTCTGATCGGTCCACCAATAGCCGGCTGGTTATCGGATTTGAGCGGTGATTCTCTTTGGTCTTTCGTCTTTTCTGGTCTTAATCTCACATTTTCTGGCGTAATTCTGCTTTTACGATTTGCAAAATCAAAACCTTTTATTTACAAATGAACCCGCGAATCGATATAGATAAAGGTTTTTTTTTAAAATATTGCACAAAGAAATGAATGAAAAAAAGAAAATTTTACTCGAACACTTGTATATGAGGGACACGGCGCGGCTCGTGAAGCGTCTTTTTTAGCATTCCTTTTTGATCTTTTACTGCACAAGCCTGAAAAAATTTATTTTAAGAATGAAAACTGATTAGTACATCATTTGCAATAGTATTAATTGTTTAAAAAAACATTATTGCCTTAAAGATTCAAGGCAGAGTTCTGTATTTACGGCGACTTCTTTTTAGTAGCTCCCAACTTACCAAGTTTAATCTCATATTGTCAAGTGTTATACAATAAATTAAAGCCCTTAATCTTGGCTACATTTCTCTAATAAAAGTTTCCCGATTGGGAATCTATAACTCATTTTACAAGCTCTTGAATGAGGACTAGTTGATCACTCGCGGACACTTCTTTTTAGTAGCTCCCAAATACCAAGTTTAATCCTAATTTCTTAAGTGCTATATAATAAATTAAAGCCCTTAATCTTGGCTACATTTCTCTAATAAAAGTTTCCCGATTGGGAATCCATAACTCATTTTACAAACTCTTGAATGAGTCGATCTCTCGCCGGCAAGCTGCCATTTTGTTTGTTTACGGCGACTTCTTTTTAGTAGCTCCCAACTTACCAAGTTTAATCTCATATTGTCAAGTGTTATAGAATGAATTAAAGCCCCTGATCTTGGCTACATTTCTCTACAAAAAGTTTCCCGATTGGGAATCTATAACTCATTTTACAAGCTCTTGAATGAGGACTAGTCGATCTCTCGCCGGCACGTTGCCATTTTTCGCGATTTTCTTCATAAAAATTCTTCAATCTTGTGGAATTTTGTCTAAAAATTATTTCCAACATATTTATAGCGCCAGATCAATTAATATAACATCAAAAAAATTACTCAATTTCTACTTCCAAATGAACTTACTATTTAATAATGTTAAGAACTATTTTTGATCGAATCGTCTTACTCAAGTTTGAGTTGAAGTCGTTTAAATAATATTTTAACATAAAATAAATCTCAAAAAAACTTTTCCTGACAATTTATTCTAATGAAAATCGCCAAAAATGGCTAATGAAAAGCAGCGAGAGATCAACTCATTCAAAGGCTTATAAAATGAGTTTTATAACTCGAATCGGGAAACTTTTAATAGATAAATGTAGCCAAGATTAAGAGCTTCAATATATTACAGGGTGTCCCAGAATTACGGTAACCGAAGGAGCGGGACTAGAAAGCCAAAATTGACCAAGAACGAAAAGTAAACGAACAAATTTATTCTTTTAACACTATTCAACAGAATAATTCAATTTTTTTCAAAGTGAGATCCCTTAGCGTCGATGCAATCCTGTAAACGTTTTGGAAAAGCGTCGATTGCGGTGGCGAGAAGGTATTGTGGATCGATCGCCTCCCACGCTTTTTGAAGCGCTTTCTTCAACGATTCCACTGTTTTATGTGATTTTGCGCAAGCCTGGGACTCCAAAACACTCCATACAGAGAAATCCATTGGATTGAGATCCGGGGACGAAGGTGGCCATTGGTTGAAACTGATGAAGTCTGGGAAGTTGTTAGCACACCAATCCTGAACCAATTTTGCTTTATGCGCCGGCGCCCCGTCTTGTTGGAAGCACCAAATCCTGTTCCCAAAGTGTTTTTTGCTCCAAGGAAGAAGCTCATTTTTCAAAATATCCAGATAATTCTGCGCATTCACTTTAATGCCCTGCGGAACAAAAAACAACGGCGTCTTGCCGTCAGCAGTGATACCCGCCAATACCATCACTGACTTGGGATGACTCGATCGAGTGGCAAGCAGAGTTAGATTCGACTTTCCATAGACTCGTGTATTCTGCTGGTTGACGTATTGCTCGATTGTGAAAACCTTCTCATCAGTAAAGAGAATGTTGCGATGATCGATCCCGTTGGAGCGTTGTCGAATATCCTTAGCTCGTTGCTCCCGCTTCTTTTTCACCGGACCCGTAAGAAGTTGAGCTTTTCTCAATTTATAGGCTTTGAAGTGCAAGTGATTTCTCAAGATTCGACCCATCGAGCTTTTTGAGACTTTCAGTTGTGAGGCCATTTTTCTTACTGAACGGAACGGATTCAAACGGACACGGTCGCGCACCTTCTTGATGATGGTTTTGTTGATAACAGATCGTTTGTTACCTCGTCCTTTCCGATCGAAATTGGTGCCCAGTACCTTGAATCTTGCAATAGTCGTCGAAACCAGCTTCTTCGAGACTTTCAATCGCTTTGAAATATCAATCGCTCGGGTCCCGCCTTTGTGAAGTTGAATGATCGAGTTACGATGAGCAGAAGGCTTCGTCATTCTAAATTTAAAATCAGATTTTGATGTAAACATTAACAAAACATTCAAAAAAAAGAGAATAATCCAAAAAAAGCTAAATCACAGGCAACTCAAAACTCAAAAACGGGCAAAGCAGCGGGGCAGAGCCGGTTACCGTAATTCTGGGACACCCTGTATATAACGCTTAACAAATTAGGGTTCAACTATGCGCTCATAACACATTGGAGTTGAACTTCGAAGTTAATCTACTAAAGTTGCGTAAATACTGAACACTCTGTAGATCTAGTAGCAAGATGAGGTTGAGTACCGCGGGTAGGATTGTTCCAACTCTTACTATTAGATCAGGCTAGATCCAGTTCTAGTTTAAGGCCAGCTAGGTCTTCTGGTTTTTTATAAGATTTATACGATTAATTAAACCCTTGTCAAGCATACTGTAAGCCAAATTTTTCTAGAAGCTAGTCTAGAAGCTAGGAATCCTTTCTTCTGATAGAGGCTAAGGATTTTGAAGGGCCAAGACTAAAGGTATCTGCCATACGGTAGCCATTTTGACGGCTCTATACTGTAGAAAAGATTATAGTCGACTTTTTCGCCACCAACCATATCCATATTTTTCGGGATAAACTTCTTGAGGCTCATTATGATATTCTTCACCGGGCACATTCCTTCATCTGGGCATCCATCGATTGTGTTCGTGAAATCGTGGAATTTCGGGTCAACCGAGTTGTACGAGTAGAGGAACTAGAGAGATTTTTTTGAGTTAAGCCTTCACTCAAAGTAACCAACAAAACTTCAACTAAAACGATCAAAAAGTTATTCAGCTATCAACCTTAACCCTCAATTGCCCATCATCCATTTTCCACAGCTCGAAAACCATTGTCGCCGCATAATCAGGCCAATCGTTCTCCAAAATGTCGTATTGTGTCCGTTTCCCAAGTGCTGTCAAAACGGCTAATAGGGTTGAATCATGCTGAAATTTCATTTATTAATAAATTTCTAAATAATAGATAAATATAAGAAACAAACCGCTGAATAGGCCGTATATTTGTGGGTGGAGTTTTGAGTGAAATTTGAGATCAACGCTTTAAGCATTGGGCCGGCTCGGAGCGCGACGACGAGCTCGTTTCGTTCACCGTTCAATTCTAAAGATTCCAATTTCAGGAATTGCTACGGAAAGGATGTTGGAGAACGTTTACAATAGATGTTAATGGATTTTTAAAGAAAACAACTGTCAATCCTTTTTTGCCGTTGGCAATTTAAGGTTTTCCTTGTTTTTCTTAGCATTAACCCTTTGGTTTTGACTTTTTAAACTATCATTCGATGCAGAATAAAATTGCGCGTCAAATGATACCAAAATGAGCTCAAAAGCTAATATCCATGCAAAGTTATGAGGCAAAAATCCTAAACCAATCTTCGATACAGGCTTAAAGTGGGCGGGGCTTAGCCGAAGCCCCGCCCACTTTAAGCCACGCCCATAATGAACATGGTTTAGGTTTTTGACTCATAACTTTGCATGGACTTGAGCTTTTGACCTCATTTTGGTATCATTCAATGCGCAATTCTTTTCTGCATCGAATGATAGCCAAAATTAAAGAGTTAATGCGTCCATTATGGGCGGGGCTTGGCCGAAACCCCGCCCACTTTAAGCCACGCCCATAATGGACGTGATTTAGATTTTTGCCTCATAACTTTGCATGAATATTACATTTTGAGCTCATTTTGGTATCATTCGATGCGCAATTTTCTTCTGCATCCAATGATAGTCAAAGCAGTCAAAACCAAAGGGTTGATGCTGAGAAAAACAAGGAAAACCTTAAATTGCCAACGGCTAAAAGGATTAACAGATGTTCTCGTTAAAAGCTAAATGTTAAGTATGGATCAGTTCAGGGGAAAGAAGTCTATCCAGATCTAGGCAAGCTTTCGAGATGTAGAGCTTTTTGCGGGCTGCATCGTGTACAAGTTTGATTTCTGCCACGAACCGTGTCCCCATCGATAATCGAAATTTTTATTGAGCGCCCATCTGGCCTCAGTCAAGCGCTCAAGCGTCAGCCAATCGGGAAACGTCAAATTGTGCTCTTTCTAAAGTTATTCTTTCAAACTCTTTCAGTTATTTCTTTATGAATTTAAAGCGGGTTTTTATTTCCTTTAAACTTTACCGCACAAACCATCGCGTCAACGAACGGGTTCAGCTCGAATAAGCTTCTCCATTTCTCACCCGTATTCGCGACAAAATCCGTGATAATTTCCTGAATTTTTTCGTGATTTCCTTCCAAATCTATGATTTTTTTTAATGCTTTCACTTTATCATTAGAATTAAATATCCTATTTATTTAATTTCTTGCCCAGGCAAGAAATATTATTTGACGCGTAATTTTGATTCTAAATCGAATGACAGTAAAATAGCCAAAACCAAAGGGTTAATGCTAAGAAAAACAAGGAAAACCTTAAATTGCCAACGGCAAGAGGTTAAGCCCCACCTATTGGGTTGGGGAGAATGAGTCGGCGCCGAAAATCAAAGAAATTTCTAAAACTTATAGCAGACTTTGTCAAATGATATGCGTTTGATATCCGTAGAAGGGTAACTAATTCTCTACAAAATAATATTTAAAAGAGAACTCAAACAGCGCCTCAACTCAACAAAGGATCATTTTTTTCACAAAATCGATAAACTGTCATCTAGAGTAAACGGTTGGAGGGATCTTCCTGAAAATTTGGTAACTTATGTAATTGAGTGTGCTCTATCTTTTTTATATAAACACCAAAGGAGGTTTATGTGGAAGAAACTGTTCAAGCAAAGAGTCCGACTTTTTGTCATTTTGATTAGCTGTGTTTGGGAATCCATAAAATCCCAAAAAAGAAAAGCTTTGTGGAATCTCTCAAAAGCCATTTTGTAAAGAATTAATGGACCATTTTGATGAAACAAAACGTGTATTTAAAGAAGGTTTTATGGGCGCAAAAAGTTTCTTTAAATTTCGGCGCCGACTCATTCTCCGACTCATTTAGGTTTTTGCCTCATAACTTTGCATGGCTATTACATTTTGAGCTCATTTTGGTATCATTTAACGCGCAATTCTCTTCTGCACCGAATGATAATTAAAACAGTCAAAACAGTAGGGTCGATGCTAAGAAAAACAAGGAAAACCTTAAATTGATGATTTCCTGAATTTTTTTGATTCAAATCTATGATTCTTTATGATTTCACTCTATCAATTAGAATACAATACCATTTTTATTGAATTTCTTGCCTGATATTGTTCTTCAAATTCTTTAAAAGCCGGTAATTGTGTTCGCTCGTCTTTTGTTTGAGTGTAACGCGGGCAACCTTGACCTGGCTCGAAAATCTAAAGAATTTTCAAATTTTTAAAAGATAAGTGTGCTAGATGCTTAACGTTTCCGATAACTTGGTAAACTCTCGACATTTGGCGCGTTAAACGAATTTCAATGCGCTAGTTGGCGAGAGTTTTCACGCGCACAAAGTTCACCGAGCAATGAGGCTAATTTTGGAGGGTTTTGCATAGAGAAAAGCTTATAAAAATATGATTTTCAAATATCAAAAATAACCAGCGATAAGGAATCTATATTTTTCTATTTAAAAAGTTGGATAATTTGAAATTCTTACTCGATCCGGATAGGTTCCTGTGTGAATGGGGACGGGCATCCAATTAAAAGGCCAATCCTAAAAGAAAAACATTCAAAATAGAGTCTAATCGAATTTCTATAGATAAAATATAACTAAATCTCTAAAAAAAATAATCTAACTAAAGCTTTTTTCATGCAAAAAAACCAGCTCGAATCTTTAAAAGTTCTTTAAAATTTTTTCTTCTTTAAAAGTAAATCTTTAAGTTTTTTTCTGAATAAGAATTTGCAAATTTATAAATTTATTCTATAGATTTCTATCCATAGATATACTTAGACAATATTAAATACTGTATTTTTCTAAATACTCACCTCTCCTAACTCAGGATTACTGAAGAAACCGGCCATATTAGCGACAGCGGATTGCAAGCAACGATCGTCCATCGCGGAAAGGACAAGAGTCTAAAAGAATATCGTTATCGATGTCTAGATCAAAAATAACTATTAGAATTTAAGATTTACCTCATATTGATTGAAAGATTTCGACACGAGACGATACTTGTCTATGTATCTCGATTTCAGCTTTAGACCTGTCTCGTACTGTTGCCGGAGACCTCGCTGGAAATTAGACTTTTTTCAAATACAGTTATTCACACCTAGAATCTGTTACAAACAATACACAAGCACAATCCCTAAGTTTCAATGCGCTAGTTGGGGACGCGCACAAAGTTCACCGAGCTTGTCTATGTGTCTCGATTTCAGCTTTAGACCTGTCTCGTACTGTTGCCGGAGACCTCGCTGAAAGTTAGATTCTTTTTCAAATGCACTTAACCACATCTAGAATCTGGTACAAACAATTCACAAGCACAATCCCTAAAAATGTAGAGAAGAAAAAAGTAAGGAAGAGAAAAAGCAAAAAGTCCCGCCGGGATCGGACCCTCGACCTCTCGAGTACGAAACAGAGATCCTAACCAATCGGCCATGGCAACACCTTCAGTCATGACGTCAAAAAGACTCATAATCAAAGGGTTTAGTTAAACAGGGCCTGAAGGAACTAGTTGAAAATTGAGAAACGATTGAGAACGGATTGAGAAACGGGGAAAGTGGGCAGAAGTTAATTTAATTAGTTAATTAGAAGTTAATTTACTTATCCATCCTGGCTATCGGGTTGTCTAATAGTTTTTGGATTATTATTATTGTATCTCTAGTTATGAGGCGATACATTTTCGTTATTTACTTACCGTAGTCAGTGCTCCGATCGGCTTTTTCTCGTATTCCCTGGGGACAATCGCCGCTTTGAAACGAACGGTCGGCGTTCGGGCGCCGTGTCGAAATATCTGAAGGTTAAAAGACTATAAATAATTGAGTAATTGAGTATAATATAAGAATTCTATGAATAGAAAGTGAAATAATAGTTTATTTATCTATTTCTTTGTATTATATTGGTAGACAGCTATCGTAGTTTGGCTTTTTAGAAGCTGTCAGCTCCGAGTGAAACTGATATTTTAGTTACTATTGCTATAATTGAATGATTAGTCTAATCTTATGTAAATGTGTTCTCCCCTGTGCTTATCCCTTTTATTGCCGAGAAGGAGCGGTCCTTGGGATTGCCTAGGAGGACAAGTGAGGCTCTCACTTGAAGTCCCCCCTTCCCCTTTCCCTCATTTGTAATCTATTCGTCTTATTGTACATAAAGATACATATTTTCCGGGTCTATGCAACTGCAGTTCAGGTCGGACATTTCACAGGGACTCCCCTCTAATACGTTGGAGGAGTTGAGTTGGGTTGTCGGGGTGTGGGAGATGGCAGGATATCAAAAAGGATCCACTCTCTCTAACTTAACCCAAATTCTATTCCATATCCGTTTACACCTAGGAACGAATAAAACTTTAAAGTCATAATTGGAACAATACAGAGAAGATTAGCATGGCCCGTGCGCAAGGATGACGCAAGGATGATTCGTGAAGCGTTCCAAACTTTTTTTTTTGTGTTTCCTAACTGTAGTCTTACTGTACTATTTTTAGTTTTCTTTCTTTTTTGTGAAAGTATTGTAGCAATATGTTATCTACAGTTATGATTATCTAAATTCGCTTCTATTCGCTCTTGAATAAAGCATATATACCGTATTTTCTCTAATAGTAGTGCACCTAGAGCTTCATCTAAATCGCTCGAAATCTCGAGAACAGCTTATCAGAACCTATCGATGTGGGATTGGAAAATGTAGCTAACGATGAGATCTAGTGGAGGATTTGAGTGTTGAGCTTCTGCAAAAGCTTTGAAACTGTAAAATAGCCATCAACTCGGCTCGGCGGGGTGCACTACTATTAGAGAAAATACGGTATTACACTTTGCTTGATGATTGTTCAAACAAGATCCCGATCATCTGAACTCAATCACAGCCAACTGTTAATTCATCTACCGTATTTCCTTTAATAGTAGTGCACCTAGAGTTTCGTCTAAATTCCTCGAAATCTCGAGAACCGCTTATCAGAACCTATCGATGTGGGATTGGAAAATGTGGCTAACGATGAGATCTAGTGGAGGATTTGAGTGTTGAGCTTCTGCAAAAGCTTTGAAACCGTAAAATAGTCATAAACTCGGCTCGCCCGGGTGCACTACTATTAGAGAAAATACGGTATTTGTTTTTTTTGCAAAATTTAGTTTTAAAACTAAAATTTTTAAAATATATCAATCTAGATATGCTCTTTATAAATAACTGAGTAATTTCTGTAATAAATAATAAGTAATAAATGCTTATAAGTAATTGAGTAATTTCTCGTCGAATTCTCATAGAAATGAGATGCCTTTTTAGCGATTCTTTTTTATACTTTATAAGATTTTTTTTTTATTAAAAGGTTCATAAGTGTTAAATTTGAAAAATAAACCTTATTTTGAGTAGTAATTTTGGAAAATTTCAAAGCTAAATCTAGCCGATCCTCGAAATAGATTTTCTTTTGCACAGAACAATTTAAAATCAATTCCCAAGTCGACTTTTCGAGATTTTTATTGAAAGATCTAGTTTCTAAGTTTCTAAGTTGAATCTAGGTTAAATAAAAAAGGATCCGTTCACCAACCACTTGCACATTGAGCAATTCGGGATCGGCAAGCGTTTCTCGAAGAAACACACAAAATTTCAGTATCAATAGCAGAAATTTGCGCATTTTTTTGCTCGAAATGAACTCAAGACAGCTGAAAAATTGAAAATTTGAAAAATGAAATTGATGTAATGTATCAAAATTTTCTTAAAATAAGGTAAAACTTAAAGAAAAAGTTTGATGAATGAGAGAAAAGATTTAAAAGAAAGAAAAGATTTAAAAGAAAGAAAAGATTTAAAAGAAAGAAAAGATTTAAAAGAAAGAAAAGATTTAAATGGATCTGAAAATGTCAAAAATGTCAAATTGAAAGTGAAAATGAAGATAAATTAAGAAAAATTTTTTTGGCAAGTAGTTGAGGCTAAAGATTGGGTTTTTGCGAGAAATTTTTTCGTGTTTTGTATGGTGGAAATGCATGTTTTGCTCATTTTGAAGTTTGATGATCAATGCTTAATGATTAAAAGAAAAAAAATGCGTTAGTTTCAAGGATTTAGTAGTAATGTTTGGAAATTGTTGAAATTTCGGTTGAAAACGGATGCCCTATTCAGAGCCGGACAACCGTTATCGAATAGATTTAATAAAAGACATAACATATATAACGCCGTTCTTCTGTCCGTCTGTTTGTCCGAGGCTTTTCTTTGGGGAAATGAGCTAAGGGGCTGAAAGCTTTATTGAAAGTCATTATTCCGCGAACTCCCATTTTAGGGTAAAAAAAATTCGGTGATTCTGAGTCTAGTCTTTTTTGGTAAAAAAAAAACGTCATTTCCCGGCGAGTTATGAGACTTTAAAATTTACAACGTTCGACCAATTCGTTTTTCACGCCAAATATGCATTTAAGAGGAGCCTAATGCAAATTTTAGCAAAGCAGATGGTTCGTATACAAAAACATAGAAAAAACAAACAAACAAATAAACAAACAAACAAACGAATAAACAAACGAACAAACAAACAAACGAACAAACAAACAAACAAACAAACAAACGAACAAACAAACGAACAATGCGAAAATAAAATAAACGAACAAACAAACAAACAAACAAACGAACAAACGAACAAACGAACAAACAAACGAACAAACGAACAAACAAACGAACAAACAAACAAACAAACAAACAAACGAACAAACAAACGAACAATGCGAAAATAAAATAAACGAACGAACAAACAAACAAACGAACAAACGAACAAACAAACGAACAAACGAACAAACAAACGAACAAACAAACGAACAAACAAACAAACGAACAAACAAACGAACAAACAAACGAACAAACAAACGAACAAACGAACAAACGAACAAACAAACGAACAAACAAACGAACAAACAAACGAACAAACGAACAAACGAACAAACAAACGAACAAACAAACGAACAAACAAACGAACAAACAAACAAACGAACAATGCGAAAATAAAATAAACGAACGAACAAACAAACAAACGAACAAACAAACGAACAAACAAACGAACAAACAAACGAACAAACAAACGAACAAACGAACAAACGAACAAACAAACGAACAAACAAACGAACAAACAAACGAACAAACGAACAAACGAACAAACAAACGAACAAACAAACGAACAAACAAACGAACAATGCGAAAATAAAATAAAATGGCACAGACTACAGTGCGTTCCTAGTGACAGCCTAGACAGACGCAAAAGGTGCATTTTAGAAAACGACAATTTCGTGGAAAGTATAAAAGGCTCTTCTCAACAAAAGTAGCTTCAGTATTTATCAAAAAAGAAACACCGTAATGATTCATCAATGTATTAAACTTTCTTTACAATAAGTATATGTGCCGATCTCTGTTTTGAGTTAAAGCTAAGCCAAGTCATAGAGCTTTTTCAAGGCTAAAAACCCAAAAAATGGTCAATCTTTCCCTTAAATCCCAAAATCACTCTGTATCAATGTAAAAAAAAAAGGTAAAAGAAGAACAGGAAAAATGTCATCCAAGGTTAGAAAAAAAAGTGAGATATGGAAGAGATTTTAGCTCGGTTTTATTGAAAATTTTTTACGAAAAAGCGCGCGATCTCTACAAATGAGTGGAATAATAAAAAATTTAGCAAAAAAAAAAAAAAAAGGCTAGATCATGAAATTTCTTCACTGATTGATGAGATTTTAAAGGAAAGTTTTGTAAAAAAAAAAAGCTTTCATTATGAGATTTTTTTAGTGATTGATGAGATTTTCTGGTAAAGATGCACGAAAATTTCTTGTCTTATCTAGGAAAAGGGATAGGAAATGCAGTAAAACTCCGTGAAAACAAGGGAGAAAGCTAGGAAATCGCAAAGAGTTTCTTTGAAACGCTTCAAACTTTCTTTAAATCTACTGGATTGATATGATCTATAGCTGAAAAAAAATCGAGAATTTCAAGAGCTTTCGAATCGACTAAACAGCACTCAAAAATATCAATGCTAAAGAAAGTTACAGTGACTCGATCGCTTCGACTACGCGTGAGTACGGTCCGTTCCGAGTCAGGCTACAAACCACTGTAACTTTCTCTAGAATTCATCCTTTTTCAGTGTACTTTAGTTCATTCGAAAGCTCTTGAAATTCTCGATTTTTTAAGCTATAGATCATAACAATCCGGTCAATTTTACAACAAGTTAGAAGCGTTTTTAGTGTGACAGTTCGTCATTTTTATAGTTATAGTGGACCTTAACTGATTTTTGACTGGTTTGGGTAGTTCTTTAAACTAAAGTCAGGCCTGATCTTGGCCAGAAAAGTTGCCAGCCTTGGGCCTAAAAGCCAGCCAGAGGTCCAGGCCTAGTCAATGGTTTTCTTGTAAATCCAAGCCATGATCTAGCTTTCTATTCCGAACCTTTATCGCCAACGATCATGAGATTGAGATAAGCTATAGATCATGAGATTTTATGGTAAAGATGCACAAAAATTTCTTGTCTTGTCCAGGAAAAGGGATAGGAAATGCAGTAAAACTGCGTAAAAACAAGGGAGAAAGCTAGGAAATCGCAAAGAATTTCTTTGAAACGCGAATCTCTGCTTGAAATCTTTGAAGATCGCTTGTCGATGCAGGTCAAAAAAAAGGGGAAAACTGAAAAAAGGCGAGCGAGTTGGCTGGAGGGGAATTCGTGGATTTTCGGCGGGGATTCTTTGAGCTAAACTCTTTTTCTAAACGCATCCCTTCTATCGCATTGAATTCGTTAGTTTTTTTGCAGATTTCTGTGCACTAGAAAGTGTTTGTTTAGCTATTTTTTAGTAAAATGAAAATTGAGAAAAATTCTTTATAATAACCACAAAAAAAACTGCATTTTTTGAAACTCAAAACGTTTAAATCAAAGATTTTTTGCTTTTTAGCTGATGATTGAACTGGAATTAGTTGAAAAAGTTGATTGATAAAAGCGTTTCACTATTTTTTTTTTCCTTCAATTTCTGGTTCCTCGTTTCTTTTGAATCAAACTAGATAAGATTTGAGAGAAAACTTTCGATCCGAACATTTATTGGGCGAGGAAGTGATGGCTAAATGTGTCTTTGATTCGATAGAAAATGTTATTGACAAGGAATTACTCTCAAAAGAGTTTATAGGAATCTACAAAAAAGACAAAAAGGGACTTAAAAAGAATAAAAAAGACTTAAAAAGAGCCAAAAAGATCCAAAAAAAATTAAAAAGAGCTAAAAGAACCAAAAAAAAACCCAAAAAGAATCAAAAAGATCCAAAAAAAACTCGAAAAGAACTATTAGGTTGTTCGGTTATAAACAAGCGTTGCTAAACTTTTTGTTGTGAGAGAAGCTTTTAAAACATATCTTTCTGTATTTAAAAGTACGTTATCTATTGGGTTGGGGAGAATGAGTCGGCGCCGAAAATGAAAAAAATGTTTAAAACTTCAATTCGACTTTGTCAAATAATATGCGTTTGATATGAGTAGAATGGTTAACTAATTCTCTAAAAAATCACATTTAAAAGAAAATTCAAACAGCGCCTCCGCTCAAGAAAAAGCCATTTTTTCACAAAAACTACAAACTGTGATCTAGAAAAAACCAATGTTGCCGAAGCCCAGTTAAACTCGTTAGTCAGACCGTGGAAGAGCTGCTGTAAGCCCTGTTATGCTCACGAGGGAACCACAGATACTCACCACCTCGAATCGCCTCTAAACTTTGTGCGGTGGTCAAACAGGACAAAACTAAAGTTCTCTGCAAAATCTAGCTGCCATCTAGCTGCGACGAAAATATAAAGCTTTTAAATTTTTAGTAAGAAACGCGAGGAAACCGCAAATACCTTCGAAAAGTATTTCTTGACGTTTTTCCGTCAGTATTTCTTGGAATACTGTCGCCAACTGACTGTAAAATGCCTTTAAGCTAAAAAGAACGAGTACTTTGATAGCAATTCTAAGGCAAAGTTTTGAAATCGTTGACTTAGTTAAACTATTGGGTTGGGGAGAATGAGTCGGCGCCGAAAATGAAAAAAATGTCTAAAACTTCAATTCGACTTCGTCAAATAATATGCGTTTGATATGAGTAGAATGGTTAACTAATTCTCTACAAAATCACATTTAAAAGAAAATTCAAACAGCGCCTCCGCTCAAGAAAAAGCCATTTTTTCACAAAAACTACAAACTGTGATCTAGAAAAAACCATTGGTGGGATCTTCCTGCAAATTTGGCAACTTAAGTAATTCAATGTGCTCTATCTTTTTTATATAAACACCAAAGAAGGTTTATGTGAAAGAAACTGTTCAAATGATGAGTCGGACTCTTTGCCATTTTAACCAGCTGCGTTTCGAAGTTCATAAACTCTACGAAAGAAAAGCTTTGTGGAATCTCTCAAAAGTGATTTTGTAGAGAAATAGTGGACCATTTTGATGAAACCAAACGTATGTTTAAAGAAGGCTTTATGTGTGCAAAAAGTCCCTTTAAAGTTCGGCGCCGACTCATTCTCCCCAACCCAATATATTTGGAATCATTTTAAATGGATAATTTCTTATTTTTAAGATCTTTTTTCTTGCTTTAGATGACCGATTTCAAACATCAAGTTCTGCCTACTTTACGATTTCAAACTAGTCAAAACAGTCGTGGAATCCCATCGAGATTTGGTCAAAGCATTTGGGAAT